GAGCTAAATGGAAGAAAGTAAAACAGGACACAATCAGGAGCCTTGCAGTATCATCAAATTGGCATGGTAATTAAAAACAAATTTTAATATTAAACACAAATCACAGTTAACAAATTGCAGTTACATCATAATTTAGATGGAAATATAGAAAAAAGTATCCAAACACAGAACAAAAAGCCTCTTAAAATAATCTTAGAATATTTATTTATTATTTTTTTTAACATTTCTAATACCCAAAAATGAAAAACAACCTGATTTTTTAGAAACCAGTGAGTAATTCATGATTCCTCCAGCAGATGGTGCCATCGGATCAATTATGATCTAAAGCAGATTTATCCTCAGCCCTTTCAGCCCTTATAAAAAGAGATTTTACACCAGAGGCTCATCTGCTTATACTTAAAATTTATTGTTAAGGTTTTAACCTGCACCTAACCAGGACAACAACTCTAAGGTTAACCTAACCCAGAACAATGACCAGGTAAACAGATCCTAAGTTAACCCAATTTGGAAATTTAAGCCTAAGATTAACCTATTCAGGACTCAGAATAACCGTCTAATTATTACTAATTGACACCTGACCAGAACAACAAATCCTAACCCTAACCTATCTGGAAACTTAAGCCTAAGATTAACCTATTCAAGGACCCATATCAACCATCTAAATACTAAGCAACATCTGAACAGGAGAATTAAACTAAAACTAATCTAACCCACAATTTGCCACCTAAGAACTAAATAACATTTACCCTGAATTTAATATTTAATTGGAACGAACCATTCAGAACCACCTCTACTGCTCTGGGGTCTCATTTATAAAGGATTGTGTGGAAACCATACTAAAAGTGAACGTACGGCCAAAAGGCGGAAATGGCGTACGCCAAAAAAAATTCAGATTTATAAAACTGTACGTACGCACGTTTCTGCGCATCTTTCCTTTATAAATCACAGCTACACGTCAGAGTGTGCGCACGAGGTCCTCCTCAGGTTCTACCCTCTACACGCCCACACTCAACCATAAACAGTCAATGTAAAGTACCTCATGAATGTTAAGATNTGACATGTTCGTACGAACCCTTTGTACAAACAAAAGTAAGAGAAATTTAGGAGAAGAATACCAACATGTTCTTGCATGAGGCCCAATGAGTCAGTCTAATATTCAGCTGTCTTATTTCAAAGTAAATGGAGGAGGACGAGTCAGCACCGCTTCCTCCTCTCCAAGGGCAGTAAGAGTTTCTGAGGGCACTATGGTGGACTCGGATGTGGTCATACCTCAACAACATCATCTTAATATTACCTTTTTTTACAATGTTTGATGTGATGCGTTATCAGACAGAAACAGTTGAACAGATGTTAGGTTTAAAGTCTTTTAACGAATAAATGCTATTTTGTAGCAAAGAGTCTTAAAAATAGTGATTCTACTATAAGCATCTATTTTGTTGAAGAGCACTTTTGAAAGTAGACCTGTCCTATTTTAGGTAAACAGCATATCCCTTGTTGAAAAACATTTATAATTCTTTTATTAGGTTTAAAATTTTTAAATGAAACTACTTTTACTGTGTTTAAATGATAGAAAAGTATCCTCTTTAAATGAAACAAGACCTCTTAAATGAATGTTTTTTAGAAAGAAGAAGAAAAATGTTTCTCCTACCTTCTCTCTGAGATGTTTCTCCTCCAAGACTTTTGGCCAAATGAAGTTACAGACAACCCCCTGACAGACTCCTCCTACTGTCACGTGACTGGGACTCCACCCCCTGACAGACTCCTCCTACTGTCACGTGACTGGGACTCCACCCCCTNACCCCCTGACAGACTCCTCCTACTGTCACGTGACTGGGACTCCACCCCCTGACAGACTCCTCCTACTGTCACGTGACTGGGACTCCACCCCCTTCCTGTCTTCACCCCTCCTCCGGAGTACAAATCAATCACTGGACTGGATTTCATGTTCAAACAGAATTTTCATGAAATATGAAAATAAAAAGTCATTTATGTTTATCACAGTAACTTTATATATATATTGTTTTATCCATATTGCCAGATGTTCTGTAGGGGAGCATGGTTGTGCTTAACACCGTGTGTTTTTGGAAGACATTCAGGTTTGCTGTTACCGTCAGAAATGTTTTATATGATTAACGGCAAGAAATGTAACTGAAACTAGGAATTAGAGGTAGAAAGTTACATTTTTCAACATTTTATAAGGATGTTGTTTTTTCAGATTTACTGATATTTAATTCTTAAACGTGGGTATGCACTCAATGTAAACAAAGCCCTCTGCTGATTTTGGCACAAAATAAAAACGTGTACAGTATAGGGACTGACATTAGTCAGGCTGTAAACACATCTGGTAGTAACAACAGCAAATGAATATCAAAACCTGTCAGTATTTGTGTTTTCTACCTTAAAAGTTATTTTATTTCAAACATGTACACAAAACAAAACAAAAAATGAGAACACAATTAAGAAAATTAACATGTTTGAAAAGGAATGGGAAGAAGTAAAAACTTATTTAATCCCACCCTTCTCCGAAGCTTATTAACAAAAAATAATAGTAAATTCTTCTTTTTCTTTATTCAAAGTTAAAATATCATAAAGATTAAAACAACAATCTGTTTACCTAGAATTTTATATAATACCAGAATATATTCATAAATGTAAATGTACATCTACATGCAGTGTTTAAGCGTACACACATAAATGTATACATCCACACATAAATACACAGCCCCAAGCATCCCTGTATCTTTTGTAAATATCATTTTATACCTGTCCTTAAATTTATTTATATTTTTATTTATTTGCAACATATGGAGATGCTTGGGGCTGTATATGTAAATGCCCTCACCACTCCTTCAGAGATGAGGATGTTCTCATTCTTGATAGAGAGGAACGTTGGTTTGAGAGAGGAGTAAAAGAAGACATTTTTGTGAAGAAAAACCGTCCATCATTAAACAGAGGTAGAGGCCTCCGTTTTCAGTTGTCCTCCTCCTACAACACTGTTATTGCAGGTATGACTCCGCCCCCTGTGAGCAAAAGGTGTGAATCAGGACCTCAGTGATAGTCAGGTGATGGGACACATGCCTCTATGAACAATAGAGTTAAATCAAGGCACTAACTATTGTTTGGCTGATGGTCCTCTTTAGCTCAGGTTTCTGTTTGGTTCTGCATCAAACAGCAGAAAAAAGTTGGGAAAAAAGGCGACAGATTTTTTGTTTTTGTCAGCTGACGTCTCCTAGAGGTGAAACGTAGAAACAGTCTTTATTGTCTCACAGAGGGGAAACTCAGGTGTCACAGCAGCAGCAGGTACATCAATCCACAAAACTATATATTGCTATGCAACATTATGAATAGTAGTGATAATAATAGAATTAAAATAATCTTAAAATAAAAATACTGTACAACACAATAACGTTGACATAACATAAAAAAGAAAATAAGATACTGTGCAGGACAAGAAAACCATATTGCCCGCTAAAACGTTGTTTTTCCAGAGTGACCTAAGCTTGTGAACCCAGTTGCTCGAGGCTGGTTGGACCAGAGCTCAGGGGAAGGAACACTTTGCTGTGACTGGTTGGAGCACAAAAACCAAAACAGCATGAAATAAAAAAAGGGAGTTAAAGTCCCTGAAATATGTACAGTAGCTTTACAAATTAAAAGTGTCACAAAATAAAAATATAATATGTAATAAATTAAAATTCTATATAAATAAATAAATAAAACTGTTTATGAATATAAATGAATCATTAAATAAATAAGTTAATATTTTATTTTATTAAATAAATAAATAAATAAATAAATAATATAAAGACATGTTGAGAAATGTATTAAAATTGACTGATTTTGTTTTATTTCAATGGGACATTTATTTATTTGATGGAATATTTAATACTTTATTATTTACATTATTTATTTCATTTTGCTAAATGGTAAATGGACTGAACTTATATAGGCCTTTAAAGTCCCTCCAGACCCCAAAGACTTCACACTACAGACGTTCACCCATTCACACTCACACGGATGGCAGTAAGCTACATGTAGCCACAGCTGTCCTGGGGCACACTGACAGAGGTGGGGCTGCCATGCACCGGTGCCACTGGACCCTCTGACCACCATCAGTAGGCAAGGTGGGTGAAGTGTCTTTCCCAAGGACACTGGGGAAAACAGTAAAGGTGGACTCATCAGAGAACAACACGTTTCACAGAGTTGTGCTCCTTGCACCAGTGAAACCAACGTTTGGAACGAGTGACCAAAGGTTTGGCTATAGCAGCCCAGCCAAGTATATTGATTCTGTGGAGCTCCACACGGACAGTTCTGGTGGAAACGGCAGAATTAAATGTCACCTCAACTCTCCTGTGGTTTTATGTTTTTTGGATACAATCCAGGTTATCACCAGAACATCTCTTTCAGACAGCTTCCTGTTGGGTCCACAGTTAATCCTGTTGGATGTGGTTGGTCCTTCTTGGTGGTCTGCTGACATTACCCTGGATACTGTGGCTCTTCATACATCACAAAGACTTGCTGTCTTGGTCACAGATGCTCCAGCAAGACGTGCACCAACAATTTGTCCTCTTTTGAACTCTGGTATGTCACCATAATGTTGTGTACATTGTAATATTTAGATCCAAACTGTGCTCTGACCCTGCTGATAGAACCTTCACACTCTGCTCTTACTGGTGCAATGTGTGATTAATGAAGACTGACCACCAGGCTGGTCCAGTTTAACCATGAAACCTCCCACACTACAATGACAGCTGTTTCACTTTCATTGACCAACCCCTGTATATCTGTACATGTTAGATAGGAGATAGAACAGGTTCTGTTCAAATATCAATAAAATTAATATTATACAGCAATTTATGGGATATTCACAAGTCATAAATGTTCAGTAACTGTTTTAGGAAAATCTTGTGTCTAGGGAAAATTTTGACGTACTTACTGAAAAAACACAAACACACTTATTGCATCTTCATTAGGTGGTTGAAAAAGGAGAAGTGTTTCAGGAATGATTTGAAAAAGGTTTTATTTTTCATGTTCACAGAAGAGGCATTACACAAGTGGTCAAATGCACACCGTTTATTTAGACAGCAAAAACACATCAAACCCTCAAATCAAATGTCTGCATTGCTTCTATATTTTTAAAATGTTATTTCATTCTTGTCTAGATAACAGGTTCCTAATAAAAACCTAAATTATTTGCAACATTTTGCATTTTGAAGCCAAAGGTAATTAGAGAAACACCACATAAACTTTATGGTGAAGGTATGTTTGATGTTACGGACAGATGAGATCATTTCCAGGGTCTACTGCTGTGAACTCTGGAGCTGTTTCTGATGGAGGAGGACAAACTCAGACGACTGGAGGCTGCTGAGCAGGTACTGCTGGTTGTCGAGCAGCTGGACATACAGCCTGTAATGAGACCCAAGAAAAAAGAAGACATGCAAGGTTTGCAAGATAAAATGTGCTTTTCAAATTAGTCTTGAAACCTTCAACTTGACTAGCAAAGGCATAGCAGCCCCGCATGTTCGCAAAGCATCAATGCAGCAGAATTCACCAGAAAAGATTTATTGTTTTGGATGAGGGTCGGTGCTGGCTCATTGGTGGGCCTGATGGATAGTCCTCCATCAGAGCTAAACAACAACAAAAAATAAATAATTAAACAAATCAGAAGCTCCTATGTTGGATAGTTTTTGAGTTATAAGCAATTTTGACCCCTTTTTCAGGTGGGGTGGGGGTCCAGGTGGGTGAGGGGGCTCATTGGTGGGCCCATTGGATATGCCTCTGTCAGAGCTAAATAATAATAAAAAATTTCAGAAGCTTTTATGTAGAATAGTTATGAGCCCCGCAGGCGAAGCAGGAGTCATATTGTTTTAGTACATTTTATTTATTTATTTCAGTGATTTTTGGTCAACAGTAGCACACAAACAGCTGCACCGATCAACATGAAATGAGTCAGGACTGTAGATGAGTCTGACCTACACTGCTCCAGCCAACGGTTTTATGATAGACCCCATATTTGAGGAGGGGGCTCCTTTCAAAGAGGGGGTGTCAGGACATGAAAAATGGTTATAACTCAGAAACTGTTCAACGTTAAAGCTTCAGATATATTTTGTTGTTTAGCTCTGATGAAGCTCTATCCATCAGGCCCACCAATCAGTGCCCCCCACCCCCCGGACCCCCAATTTATCTGAAAAAGTGGTGTCTGTACATAAAAACTGCTTTTAAACCATCCTTCTTCACCTACCCAATCCCATGATGCATTGTGGGTGAAAGCTGTCTGAAAACCAGGAAATAAAGCAATGAGAATATTTTCAAATTTCTATTTTTTCTTGACACAAAACTAACTTTTAGAAAGTTTTTAGGCGAGAATGTAACCCTGTAGAACTCAAATATATACTTGCTTTTTAAATATTTGGCTTAAATACAAATTTACTGAAACGTTTTCGGAGTGTCGCTACACTCTGGTATGAACTGACCGCGGGTGCTTCCTGCTGAAGACAACACACACACACCCATACACACACCCATACACACACCCANCCCATACACACACCCATACACACACCCATACACACACCCATACACACACCCATACACACAGTCTTAGACAGAAACAACAGCACGAGGCTGGACAACTACAGATAAAAGTCATCATTTCCACCTGCGGACACGTCATTTTTAACATACTTTGAAAAAACAAAATATGGAATAAATTTGAAACTAGAAGCACTTGTAGAGCGCACACCTCTGCCAACCCTGCAACATGGCTGTGGAGTGGTTAACATTCAAAAATCAGAATTTTCTCTGGACCTCTGACCACCATCAGTAGACAAGGCGGGTGAAGTGTCTTGCCCAAGGACACAACGACTGAAACGGCTGGACGGGGGATCCAACTGGCAACCTTCCGGTTCCAGGATGACTCCCCTAACCACTCCACCACAGTCGCCCTGAACTGAAACAGTAAAACTCTGACCCATAATGTAACGTTCAGGTAAAAAATAAAGCTCAGGTTAAAGACTAATTTTAACCATTTTACCTTGAAAATAAACTGGTTTTAGATTTGTTTTATTAATCCAATCAATTGAGTAAAATGGTCTTCTAATAACTGGAAAATGCATAATTTTGAGTAGATTTTTTTAAAAAAAACTTCCAGGGGCGGCATGCTCCCAGAAACCCCCGGATTATTTTACTCCACAACTGTTTGGTAACATTAATGTGTCTCAGTGATGTTGGCAGGTTCATGTAGGCTTCTGACATTCTGTTTTAAATTGTATATATAGTTGTTAACTATTTTAGTTTTAGTCAAAACTATTTATTTTGTTTGTTAATATAAGTAAATAGGCAGTGAGATTTAGAAAATTGCATCAACAAATATCTTCCCTTGGGTCTTAGCTCTGCAGCCCTAAATGTCAGATCCTAGAATCGTCCCTGTGGTTCAGGCAGAAGAGGTGCTGCTACGCTTGGCTCTGTGGTCACTAGGGATGAGCGAGTACACCACTATCTGTATCTGTTCAACCATCTAAATTATCTGTATCTGTACTCGGAGTGGGTGGGGCCTAAACTGGATGTGGGTGTGGCTTGACCAGAAGTTGGCGGAGCTTAAATCTGAACATTGTTTTAAGTCTGAAAATGATATGGATTGATCAGAAGTTTCTATATGTACTGTTTGTTTGAATGTTATTTACAGATCTTCAAAAATGAGATTAAATGAATGTTTTTAATCACAAAAGTTAAAAATGATTCATGTTCTGAGTTAAAAAAAAAGCTTGTTCTGTAAATAGTTTAAGTGCCTGAATGAACACAACTCATGCAGTAGGAAATTATGAACTACTGAAGTATGCATGAACAAAAACTGTCATACTCAATACAACTTCCTTTTTTATTTTTTATTTTATTTTATGATCAAACTGACTTTTTTATCTTTCTCTTTAGTTTTACTACCTAATGTTCTTGGCTTTTTCCCCCACACACAAAGTTAAACAATGTTGATAATGTTAAGGTGTGTGTGTGTGTGTGTGTGTGTGTGTGTG